AAGAAGGACTGGGTTATTTACTTTTGCTGTCGCCTTTTTTGAAACACAGGAACGAGCAATCAGCTAAGTGAGCTTAGTGATTGAAAAAAAAAAAATTCTTTCATACCTTTTGAGACAGCTGGAAAATTCAGCTAAGTACAAAAAATAGAGAGGAAAACAACAAGAAATGGGACAAGAAGAGAGGGACAAAATGTAGAACAGATAATGGATGTCTATTCTATTCAAATTTCTGTATAATGGTCTGTTTTATGTTGTCTTCTCAGTTCAGAGGGCCCCGTGCCTGTCTTTGCCTAGGGCCCCATATTTACTAAATCTGCTGCTGGTTTTAACGTATTTTACAGTTATAATAGTATTGTACTGTATGTCTATTTAATTTATTGTCATAAGTAAGCAAAGATGTTAATTGCATACTCTTTAGTTTCCATTTAAATGCAGCGTATTAAAAGGGATTAGTATCTGAACATGGACTGCCTACCTTCAACTATACAAATCTCAATGGCTGCCTCTTTTTTGACCTTTAATCTGCTCTGTATTCACAGAAACATGACATTTAGTTTCCACTCCTGTTTTTCTCCAGGACACTCCTGAATACCTGCACCAGGCTGCAAATGTCAACCTGGTTCATCACCTGAAGAAACTGGAGAAAGAAGCCAGGATCACTTTAGGTATTTGAGCTACTTCTCTTCTGCAGAAATTCATGAAACATATTTAGTCTGGTCTTGCATACTAATGCAAAGGTTTATCCCCCAGTGCTCGACTCTACAACTAACAGCAAGTGGAGAAGTAACCTATGATGTCCAGCAACCCTGAAATGGACAAACTACATCATATAATCAAAGAAATCTCACTGGACAACATGTGAGAGTCTGTTTATTAAACGCACAGGATCACATTATGAAGTTATGATTGTGAGACTGATTGAAACAGTGTGAACAAGAATATATATTAGTTTAAACATGTTGCATTGAATTATGTTTTTTGTATGCCTTCATATAGGTGCACTTTTTACAACTCTTAAAAACGTTGACAGGTGGTTTTCTCCTCCAACACTTCAGTCAAATCTGTGCAGAATAGGTGTGGTTATTCCATGCAGACACTAGGTGGCAGCACCTGCTAAAAAAACCTGTCAACTGCTATCATAAATGTAAAAAAAATCTATCTAGTCTTTCAAAAAGATTACACATATTGTTTTTCCTATTGAAATTAATTATAAATTTATGTTGGAACATACTTTGTGTATCTTTGATGCATGTTTTCATTGTTGCCTAAATATTTTATAAATAAACATGAAACAAATTTGGAATTTAAAAAGATTAATGTAATTTTGATAATTGTGAATGCTTACTAAATAGACTCCTCTTTCAGTTTTCGCTCATAAGTCCCTGTTTTTGTGTGACCCTTTGAGCTTCCGTTGCCCCCCCCCCCCCCCCCACCCCCCACTGTGGCTCTCATCTGTTTCTATATTGACTAATTACACTGATGCAGCCTGACTGTATTGGAACTTCCTTTGTTTCTGAGTTACTGTTTGGAACACAAACCAGTTTTGCATTTGACTGGGAACTTAATGTTCTTATGAACGGCTTAATCGACTGATGTGTGCAGAACATTGGAAATGATGCAAAGAAACATCTGTGTAAAAGTAAAAACCAGCTGTGCTGTTTGATATGTCCAGTCGCAGAAATTATCTGTAGCAAAGGTTCCCTAACATTTACCACTTTTACAGTCTGACCTTCAGGGAACTTGGTGCTCTTTAAAGGTTCCTTGAAGGTTAATTGCAATATCCTTCAAAATGATACTGTAGTTCTTTAAACTGTTACATGACCTTTAGATAGGACTTTTAAGAGACTTAAGAGAGAACATTTGGTAAATATTCATCTGGGGGTTAGATCTAGCATTCATAGCATGGAGGTAAAAAGCTTCCATATAAATTTAAATTTATTTAAACCAATTATGTCCTGACTTTATGGGAAATTTAAGTTTGAACAGATACTTTCAACATCTGGGAACGTTTTCTGAAGGTTACCTGTAAAAAGTCTTTAGTGTCTGTTAAAGGTTCCATCTTTTAGGTTTACCTTTAGGAAAGTTTTAGCAAGCATTCCCTGCCTCTAGGTTCCCTCCTCAAAGGATGGTTCCCTTAAGTTTGGTTGCAGTATCTCAATATTATCTTTTTAGGGGAAATTAATGAACATTTCTTAAAAGGTTCCCTGACGTTTGTTTGTAACATACTGTCTACAGCGTGGCTTTTAGGCTAATTTACTGAACTAATTGCAACATTAGCAGTGCTTTATATTTCAAGGAATGTTCTAAAGTGACGTGGGGAACTTGAGATAACGTTCCTTAAAGGCTTGTAAGGTGGTTGTTCAGAGTGGAGTGTAGGCTGCTTGCATCTTTTCTTTGACTTTTAGGAAATGTTTTGTAAATGACCCTGAGGGAACATTCACGTATGACCTCAAACGACTAGAGGGAACATTACCTTAAGGTTTTAAGACTTCAGGACAGTGACTTTATGGGGATTTTTTTTTTTTTTTTTTGTGCTGCAACTCCTTGGAGTGGCTTTAGGGAATTTAAAAGTTCCCTAAGTGTTATAGGAAGTCCTCTAATTGTTCCTTAAACATCTGTGTCATCTTTCATGGTTTTACTTTACGGAATTATAAGAAAGTGCTCTTTCAAGTTTTGTTTATTCATCTACATTTCTTCATGTAAATGCAAAGATGTAGATAAAATGTAAATGTGTGTCAGTTTGTACATACGCAGACATTATTTCCTTATGGTTAACTGGAACTTACAGTGTGACCTTTTGAGTGTGGTATGTTTATTGCTATTGCAACTGGTTGCAACACCCTAGCTTGACCTTTAGGGAACCAGTTATGATTTACATTATATTGTAGGGACTTGCAGAACATACTGTGGCTCTCCTAGTGGGTCTTTATTTTTCTTTTAATGTTTTACAGAATAATCTGAAAATTCTGCCTTAGTGGTTTCTCAGCTTCAATTAGAGGAGTTATAATAGCATCATATAGATGTAATGGTGTAAAAGACAATAGGGCAAGTTACCATTTTTAATCACTTGTATACCTCTTAGAAATGGAGTCCCCCGTCCCTCAGTGAGGTCTAGAAGCACAAGATCTATATTCAGCCATTCAGCAGAGATACTGCCACATGGCTGTACATCTTATTTTGGCATTTGACCAATTAGATGAGCCCTTGCATGATATATTACCTACTGTAAATTAAGTTGAAAAAAAGTTAGAAAGTCTAGAAAAAAAGCTAACAGAAAAGTTTCATTTTTAGAGTGTTTTTCATTAAATTCTTATAGAAGCACTTTTGCTATTTTTCCTAATATATTCAGGCAAGTTGGCCTTTCTTACATTACATTGACACTGCTTTTTGTCATCAAAATATCCATATTTTTTTGGAGTCTTACAAACGTGATAAGGTCTTGTCCTGGATTCCAATACCACTGTTGACTTGACATTTTGATTTTCACTGGTGTGATGAAAGTTGGTGGGAACACTCTAAGGGTGGGGGCTGATGGACCTACATTTACTCCACACAAAGGCTTTCAATAGGGTTTGTATTTTCCAAAATTGAGCTCAAACATATATTTATTGAATGCTTTCCTATTGTTGAGAACACAAGAGAACCAAAATAAACTGATATTTATATTTATGGGTAGTTAGACATTAATGTATATAAAAAAAAAAAGGATGAATAATGGTCGACTGCGATGCCAACAGCAATATATCATGCCTCACTAGTATGCACATAATTTCAGTTTCATTCATCAATCCAAAAATGTGGTTTGATTGATTGGATGTTTTCCCTTTCAGCTAGTTCAGTCATTATCCTCCTTCAAAACCAGAAAAATCTAATTTAGAAATGTGTCCCACATATTGCTGAGAGCCAAAGTCTATTGAAATTATTGGTGGGGACATGTCCACATCAGGCCAATGTTGGTAGGGACATGTCCACACTAGGGGGCAGATTTACCATTAGGCAATACTAGGCAGTTGCCTAGGGCCCCAAATTTCTGGGGGCCCCATAAAACTCCTATTACATGTATGGTCAATACAACTAGTCCTTATTTGTGCACATTAATAATGTTTTTATAAAAACCCTTTTGCTAAAATGCCATCAGAATGCTGAACACTGAAGGGGGGGCTTCAGTGTCCACCATATTGGATCAGTCCATTTGCTGCACATGTTCAGAAAGGTCCAAACAGACAGAGGCAAATAATTTGTAAACAAACGCTGCAAAGAGCAGTGTTGCCAACTTAACGCTTTCGTCTCTATATTTAGCGACTTTTCAGACCCTTCTAGCACTTTGTTTTCAAAAAAGCGGCTAGCGCCAAATCTAGTGACTTTTTTCTGCTACGGAGACTTTGGTGACAACATCTAAAAGCAGCGAACTCTGCTCTCTAGAGCAAGTAGATTGGTAACCCTGCCTCCTGCTCTCCTCTATCATGTCTGCTGTCATGATCCATGCAGCTATTATTTCATCCAAATTAAAAAACGGAGAACAGATAAGCAGATCATGGCTTGTCTACAGTGAAAAGAAGGACTGGGTTATTTACTTTTGCCGTCACATATTTGGAAACACGGGATGGAGCAATGAGCTCAGTGAGCTTAGAGTAACATTTCTCTAACTGTATAATGGGTCTATTTTATGTGTTCTCTTCTCAGTTCAGAGGGGCCCCTGCCTGTCTTTGCCTAGGGCCCCAAATTACCTATATCCGCCCCTGGTCCACAGCAGTCCCTTGTGGTTAAAGGGAATTATACATTATAAAAATATACTTTTCATTAGTTTATGTTGAAAGCCTAAAAGAAAATGTTTCCCCAAACTCTTTCAAACAGTTTCATTGAGTTGGGAAATGAAACTGAGGTCCTTGCAGGTGGTAGTGAAATGAGAAAAGAGGAGGTGGAGGTGCAGGGAGGAGGAGGAGGAGGAGGAGGAGGAGGAGGAGGAGGGGGTCTGCTAGTAAAGATAAACAGCCGAGGAACCTCTGAGCCAGATGAACATGGCGGCTCCGGCTCTGGACGCTCCTGTCGCTCCGTCCCGCTGACCCTCACTGCACCGACTAAAACCTCCGCTCTACAGCCGCCCATGGCCCCCCAACTCTCAGGTAAGTCCCCCCCGCTATGGTCCCCCAGTCCCCACCCCCCCTCAGTTATCTCCTACATTAATAGTAGTGGTGGTGGGGGGGGTGGTTGTGCAAAGTGTCTGTCAGTACATGAAGGTTAACCTACTTTTGAATTTATTTTGTAACGTCTGTCGCGCGACTTTAAAGATGGGATATATAGGATTGGATACTAAGGATTTAAGCGGAGCCTTCAGGAAATAACGTTTCTGACGGAGAGAAGCGACAGCTGCGAGCGTTTCTGCTCATTTACAAGCGTCGCTCTTTATTTTATCGCCGTCGAACTGTTTCGCAGTCAAATTTTAACTTTTATTTATTTCACACATGGATTAATGTGAATGACATAAAGGCACTTGTGTTAACACATAACACCAAGTTATTCCGTGACAGGTTCGTTTGTCTCGGACTTCCTCAAACAATTTAATCGTTAAGTGAAATCTAATCGATTCACAGTTTCCGGGGTTGGATTTCAAAATAAAAGCGTTATTAGTTCTTAAAGGTAGTTCTTTAAAAAACGGGTTCATTTTATTTGGTGTAATTAAAAAATAAATAAATAAATAAAAATCTCTCTAATTAGATTCACCAATTGGGTGTTATTATAAATTATTACAAATATTTATTTTGTAGATAAATGGATAGATTTCAAGTACTGTGATGATCTGGGGCTGCCTTGCTTCTTCTGGACCTGTGCAAGTCAAAAACTGAACCATAAATTCTCTCTATGGCAGAAAATCCTAAAGCAATCTATCCATCCATTAATTTGTGACCTTTAGACCTAACTCCCCTGAGATGTACAGCAGAAAAATGCCCTAAATGATTAATATCTTGATGGCTTAAACTTGACATCCAAGTGAATAAAATGCAATTATCTGCAGTCCCGACTAAACGCCACAGCTTTGGTCTCAGTTTAATCGAGCTATTCTTTTAACTTAAAGCAGGGCTCTTCAACATTTTCCAGGCCAAGGACCCCCAAACTGATGGCGAGATGGAGCGGGCCCCCCTAATTATATATATTGTATGAAATTGTGTTATATCAAACTGGTCCTATAGTCTCTCTATTACAGATGGAGTCATGTAGCGAAAGTAATTCCTCCCTGGGATTATTAAAGTATTCCTGATTCTGATTCCTGGTTGATGGGACAGGTGTTGTGAATGAAACGGTGCCCAGCCTGAAAGAGCTCCTGTGTGTCGCTGAATGTGTGCATTGATGACTGAAAGACATCTTCTGCCTCCATTTATCTGTTTACTACAGTTTTTTGTGACCCCCATGCAATACTTTGATTTATAAATGAACAATATTTAAAATAAAAATAAAGACATTTATTTTGAAAATATGTTTCCAGTGTTCCTGTATTAAAGTAATTTGAAGAGAGATTTGTTAGGAAGTTGCTAGAAAGCACTAATACAAGCTGTATTATTCTATAGCATTTGGTATTTATTTATTTTTATTAATTTTTATTCTCTGTGCATGTAGCAATATATTAAGCTTAGACCTGTAGAGTAAAAATCTGGACAGTAGAAAACCGTTTGTTTCTTTTTTGATACAATCAATGAAGACCTAATGCTGTTTTAACAGGAGCTGAAAAAGTTTTGTACAGATAGCTGCCGGTGTATACCGCTCTGAATTCACAATCCAACATGGATGTCATGTCCCAAAACACTTTTTATTGATATATGACTGCATGTTTTGCATTCCTTGTGGTGACTGGTTAAAAGTTCAAGCTCTTCGAAGTCAATTGACATACCAAAACATAAATCATTTGCACCGCAGAGAGTGTTTTCTCATAATTCCCCTGTCACATTCTTTCTCCCAGTGCATAAAGCAGAATGTCATCAGTCAAACTGTGCCTGAATGCATTCTTGGATCATGGTATCCGGTGAGGAGCGCGACACTGGCCTAACATGTTATTCAGGTTATTACAGATTAGAAATTAAGTGCAGCTCACAATCTATTGTTTAACACAGAAATTCCTTTCTTTCAGCTAAGAAAAAGAATGTGCCTGTATTTGCTGTTGAGCTGGTATGTTCATGTGAGAAACCTGTCAGTTTACCTACGTGACAGGTGTCATCTGACTCCTCGGTGTTGTGTTATCTTAGAGGGCTGGATTCTTGATTTTTGTTTTTTAGGCCCCTTTAAAGCCTATTTGCTTTTCCTTGGACCCAAAGGTGAACTTTAAAAAGGATCGCAACACGTATAGCAGGTTTTCAGTCTTACGTTTTGCATCCTTGCCTGGAGGATACCCAACTCTTCGGATGCTTTTTTTGTTAACCCTTTATAGGGCACTAAGTGAAATCCTTTAAAAATCTGAAATTCAAGCCAATAGTGTTATTGTAATCCATGACAACACCTTATTGCCTTTGTAACATAAAAAAAATCTGGATATTTTGATGGCAAAAATGAATGTCAATGTAATAACAAGAAACGCGAACTTGCCCGAATATATTAAGAAAAATAACTAAAGTTCTTCTATAAGAAATTCATGGAAAACACTGAGAGTGAAAGAAACACATTTTTTGGCACAACATAACCTTAGGGGGATTAATGCTTTAGTTTATAAACAATAATATATTTATTGTAATATAATTGTTAACTAGGCTTATTAACTTTTTAGCTTTTCAATTACAGGGTTTCCGCAGGTCTTTAAAAGTCATTAAATTATAATTTTTTTAATGTAAGGCCTTAATTGGCATCAAAGTTCATTAAATGTGATTATCATGGCTTTTAAAATGCTTGATTAAAAAAAAAAAGTTTATAAATACAATTTCATCAGATATATTATATCGCAATATATTTGCGCAGAACTGCTTCTGGTTGATCGTAAAGCCATATGTTCGGAAAAGAAGCTCGAGGTGGGGAACATTTTGACAAAATGGCAGGAAAATTATATATATTATAATTTTATGTATTTATAGATGTATAATAAAGGTCATGGGTACTTGTTGATGCCATTAAGAATATTTCTAAGAGCATTAAAAGAGAGTTAAATTAGAGTTGGAAGGCAGCTCTGGTTCTTAGTAGCTAGTTTTATATCACTGGCTGTGCTTAATGTGGTTCCCAGTAAATCATATCCCATATCTGGAAATAAACTAGTTTCCTTCCTCTCTTTGGGGTTATTAAACATGTTATCAAGTTGCTCCGCAGTTCAGAAAGCAAAAGAAGGGGGACGCTCGTTTATTTAAATCGGAGATGAGTTTATTTCCTTAAATTGTACAGTAACGCTTTTTCATTAAACAGATGCCTTCTCCATTAGATTTCAATGACTGAGACGAGACGCGTAGCCTGGCTGGCTCAGAGGCTGGCAGCTCCCGTTCACTGCCTTGTGTTTTCGCCGAGGCAGGCAGAAATAGAATGTCTCAGGCAAAGGTAGACGAATGTCACCGTGCAAATACCAAGTTCATTGTTTCACAGAATCTATAAGGAATCGAATCGTTTCACAAAATTGATAAGTAGGGTTGTCAAAAGTATTGATACTTAAAAAGTATTTATACTGAAAAGTTGTATCCGGATACAATACTCGTTTTTAAAAGTATCGATACAGTGCTAACCTAAGCAGTCATTCATCTTATGTGCAGATTAGAGGAAAATGCACTTTCTGAACACTGTGTGATTGAATAATTCTGTGCACTTTTCGGTTTCAGACTTTTTTCTGTAACAGGTGCAGCTGCTGAGAATTATTTATGTTTTTTAACTGGTTTGGCTAGTGTCATTGTTATGTCTGTAAAGCATAGCCAAGGAAGGAACACTAAATTTAAATTTATCAAGCTTGCTTAATATTGTGCACAGCATACAACCTCAAAATATTGTTTATTGTGTTTATCTATTTATTGTATTTTGTTTATTAATGAAAAAATTTCTGTTGAATTTTGGAGTCTTTGTTTTTATTCTCTTATCGAAAATGACGTCAAGTATCAAATATTTTACTTAGCATCGGTATCGAGTTGAAAAGTTTAGTATCGTGACAACCCTATCGATAAGGGAATCGGAATCGTGAAAATCCTATCAAGTCCCAACCCTGCAGATGGAAAAGAAATCCTATATATTTTTTGGTTTGCTTGTTTTGGTTAATTTCAAGTTTACGCACCAAAAGCGTATGAAATTATTTGGATGCATAGAAACTGACAGCGAGGCACTTTTATCTGTTGTTTTAGGTTTGTCTTCCACTTGTTTTTGTCTGACTTCCACATTGATCTCTGGTTTTTAGTGCGCAGCCATGAAGGCTCTTCCGAGCACCTCTGGTCATCGGGGCTGATTCAGAACGCATGTTGTGTATAAATTAGGAGCTAAATGAATGGTGACAGAGTACAGGCCAGAGTCGCGTAAACTTATCTGTTGTACTTCCTGTGGTTTCTGTTGTGTGTTTGATTTAATGTGTTTAAAGCTCACCAATTAGCTCACCAATTCACTGCAGTAGGAATTGTTAGTGGGAAAGTAAAATACTAAAAGCCATCCAAGCTTTTAACCTGTTGTTCTACAGTTCAGAAAGTTTTAGCACCAGAAACCGCTGCAATATTTAGCTAACATGATATCAAACACTAATTCTACTTATGTTTCACAAAAGACCATCCTGTTATGATATTTCTCATGTGAGCCTTAACTATTGCTACCAGTAGCAACTGCCCATGGACTGGTATAATATTCTACCTAAAACAAAAAAAAACAAAATGGCCAAAAATCTCAGATTTATAGTGTTTATACAGAAATACAAAAAAAAAACTAGCACTAATTAAAGAAAAATAATTTCTGTTGTTAGAATAACATTAATTTATTATTATTATTTAGTACAATGGGAAATGATCTCATGTTTAGCTGCAGTTTATTAATACCTCGTTTTCTGTTAAAACTGAATTGAAAGCATGCTTTTCAGTGTTTTGGTAGCCAAAATGTACTTTCTGCTGTATTTTGATTAATAATTATGAAGAGGTCAAAGTGCATCAGTCAGGGATTTGTGTCCCCCATCCATCTCTTTTTTTATATATATTCTTTT